TGCTCAGGAGGCAAAGCTCCCTCAGGACTTCACTTGTCTTTTCTGTCAACTTGCTTTGAACATGAGAGAGTGTCCCCTGGTATTCTTGGGTGGAGATGGCCCCAGGGACTCCTGTGGACGCCAAGGCCTCTGGATGCTCTGTACAAAATGGCCTATCATTTGGATTAACCTTGGTGCATCCTGACATATGCTTTATTTAGTTTTATTTGGTTGTTTGGCAGTACTGGAGTTTTGAACTCAGGGCCTTGGGTTTGCCAGGCAGGTGCTCTACCCCTTGAGCCACACCCCGGCCCTTTGTGCTTCAGTTTGTTTTTCACATAGGGTCTCATGCTTCTGCCAGGGGCTAGACTCAGACCTCCATCTTCCTACCTATGCCTTTCCCGTAGCTGGGATTACAGGTGTGAACCACTGTGCCCAGCTCTTCTGTCACAGACTTTATAAGGCATCTCTAGATGACTTATAATACTTAATGCAATGTGAGCACTATTTGAAGAGTTGTTTTACTGTATTGTTTAGGAAATATAACAAGTTAAAGATGTGTACATGTCCAGCAGAGATGTACCTTTTTTGTGGCACTCGGATTTGAACTCAGTACCTCACACTTGCTAGGCGGACGCTTTACCACTTGAGCCACTCCACGAGCCCTGTTTGTACTTGGTATTGTGAGATAGGGTCTCACAAACTATTTGCTCTGGCTGGCCTTGAACCACCATCCTCCTAATCTCTGCTGCCCAAGTAGCTAGGATTACAGGCCTGAGCCACAGGAGCCCGGCTAGCCCTTTTTAGTTTAGTTATTTTGGGGCTAGGTTTCCATGATTTTGTCTAGGCCAAACTCAGACTGTGATCCTACTTATGCTTCCCACCTAGCTAGGATTTCAGGCGTGCACCACCATGCCTTGCTATTGACTGAAAGGGGGTTTCACTAAGTTTTGCCCAGGCTGGCCCTGAGGCTCTATCCCCTGGATCTCTGTCTCTCAGAGGCTGAGAGCCACTGTGTCTCCGTCTACGGACACAGTTTTTAAAAAATGTTTTCAGTTTACAGTTGGTTGAGTGTTTGGAGGTGGGATTTAGACAACAGTGTAGCCCAAGTGGCCCAAGGGACAAAACAAGGCTATTCTTGTTATGTTCATTAAAAAAAATTTTTTTAGCCGGGTACCAGTGGCTCATACCTGTAATCCCAGCTACTCAGGAGGCAGCGATCAGGAGGATTGCAGTTCAAAGCCAACCCTGGCAAATAGTTCGTAGAACTCTATCTCAAAGAAACAGATCACAAAAAAGGTCTGGAGGAGTGGCTTAAGGTATAGGCTGTGAGTTCAAATCCCAGCACCACAAAAAAACAAATTGCTTTCTTTCCTATGTAAAGAACTCAGAAGAAACAATATGAAAAAGATCAAAACCCAGTGAAAGAGTGAGCAGAGAATATGAACAGATCATCACAAAACAAAATTTTAAAATGATTTTAAAACAGGAAGACATGCTCAAACTTCAGTCAGAGAGAAATACAATTGAGATCAGTGTGACATAAATCTCACCATTCAGTTTGATGAGATAAAAAAAGCCGAAATGACTTCATCTCGGTGAGGATGCAGGACCGCTCCACCCCTTGTGTCTCCCCCACGGAGGAGATACTCAGTGAGCACATTTGAGGCCGCAGGACTTTGCCTCATCTGTAGGGGAGAGGACTGGGGGCTACGCAAACTGGAAACAGAGGTACATCATATAGCAGAACTCACATGTCTGCACACAGCACTGTGAACAAGTCTCCAAGGCCTAAGTGAAGAAAGCCAGGTTCAAAAGTACTCTTTCTGGAAGGAGCAGACGGACGGTACAGATCAGCAGTTGGGGAAGCACTGGGGGAGAGAAGAGTGGTTACGATAAAGAAGAAACAGAAGGGAATTTGGGGGGCAATAGAAACACCTTGTATTTAGCTTGTTACAGTCCAAACTCATAGAACTGTCTATCCAAAAAAAAAGTGAATTACAAGGCCAGACTGAGGGTTCCTACCTGTAAATCCAGCTACTTGTGAGGCAGAGATGGGGGGATCAAAGTTTGAGGCCAGCTTGGCCAAAAAGTTAGCAAAACCCCATCTCAGTCAATAAGCTGGGCATGGTGAGGTGTGCCTGTATCGCAGCTGAGAACAAGGCATGAATAGGAAGGACCGAGGGCTGAGCTGGCCCTGGAAAAGACAAGACCTTATCTGTAATATAACTACAGCAAATAGGGCTGGAGGCATGGCTCACATGATTGAGCCCCTGCCTAGCAAGCATGAGGCTCCGAGTTCAAACCCCAGTACCACCAAAAGAAGAAAAAGGAAATAAAACAAAGAAGAAAGGACAGTGGGAAGTCTGTTTCCATAGAGTTACAATCAGGAAAGGGGACCCACATTGGGGCTGGGTCATGGATCAGTAGTAGAGTGTTTGCCTAGCATGTGTGAGGTCCTGGGTTCAATTCCAGAGCCCAAAGAGAAAAAAAAAATCTCACAGGAGCACAAATTGAAAGAGTCAATCACGGCTAAGTTAAAACTGCCAAGCAGCTGGGCGAAGCCAGCCTGGGCAAATAGTTCACAAGAGCTTATCTTGAAAAAAACCCATCACAAAAAATGGCCAGTGAAGTGGCTCAAGGCAAAGGCCCTGAGTTCAAGCCCCAGTACAGCAAAAAAAAAACCTGCCAAATGATGATTTGCCTGACATATTTCAACTGGAATGCCAAGGGTGTCCATGGCAGCATGATTTGAGCAGTGGGAAGGCTGAAGGTGATGCAAATCCTCAGCCATCGCAGACTGGTCCCATACATCATCAACCCCACGTGGTGGAGTGGAAACACCAGGCTGCATGTCCACATAGCAGTTACTCACATAGCCAAAGGTGGAAACTGTGCAAAAATCTTTCGAGGATGAATGGATAAACAAAACCCACAGTGTTTTGGCTATAAAAAGGAGTAAGGCCCTAACTGTGGAGAGCAGATTAAAGACTATGAGAACTGGACACAAGCAAGGCAAGATGCGCTCACCCGCTTTTCTGAGATTGGCACAGCCCGGAAGCAGAACAGCTGTTTTCCTAAGCTGTTTGGGTTCAGAGAAACAGGAACGCAGGTTTCTCCTGTTACAGTGTCACACCCCTCCCCAAGAACCGCTGCTCCACCCTGTTTGCAGCTGTTTATAAAACACCCCTGAAGGAGGAAGAGGGGCTTTTGCCTTTGGCTTTTGTCTTTGGCTTTGTGAGAAGTTTTTGGAAGGGAAAAGAATGGCTAAAGAGGGGCTGATAGAAAGTCTGCACTGAGAACTTTAACCTAGGCCTTAGAAAAACTAAGCTACAGAAAAGCCAAAGAGAACATGGGACAGTGCACAGTGCGAGTCCAAGGACTGAGACTTTAACCTAGGCCTTAGAAAAACTAAGCTACAGAAAAGCCAAAGAGAACATGGGACAGTGCACAGTGCAAGTCCAAGGACTGAGACTTTAAGGGTTGTGCATATGCAGGTTGTAGGCGCAGCTGTTTGCAAGTGTGTAGCACCAGGCTTTAAGAGAGCTAAAGAGAGATGGGACAGTGCAAGCCTGGGGGAAAAAGACTTTAAGAGGAATTGAGCTAAAGATGAGCTGAGAGCAAACATGGGCCAGTGCGAGCCTAAGGAAAGAGGTTTTAAGCAAGGTTTTAAAGAACTACAAGGAGAAAGGTCTAAGAATCAAGATAGAGAAAAAGAAGCAATGAGGGTTGTGCATCTCCAGCCGAGCACCCAACACAGCTGACTCCACTTTCTGTCTGTCTATCCTGTGTCTTTTCTGAGTCTCCAGTCGCCCCCAGTTAAGCCAGTGACGTTCAGTAATACCCGGGAGCGAGAGAGAAAGCTCGCTCCAGCAAGGGAGGAGCGAGAAAACAGCGCCCCTCCACCTGACACCTGCTACGATATGGACAGACCTTGAGGACATGGTGCTTAGTGAGAGAAGCAGACATAGAAGGTCACGCAGAGTGCCGGGTGCAGTGGCTCATGCCTATCATCACAGCTGCTCAGGAGGTAGAAGTTGGAAGGACTGTGGTTCCAGGTCAACCCAGGCAAAAGGTTAATGAGACCCTATCTCAACAAATAAGCCAGTGTGCCGATGCGTGTTTCTAATCCCAGCTATGCAGGAGGTATGGGTAGGAGGATCAAGGTTCAAGGCCAACCCTGGGCCAAAACACAAGACCCTATCTGAAAAATAACTGAAGCAAGAAAAGGGCTGGTGTAGCGCCTGCCTAGCAAGTGCAAGGCCCTGAGTTCAAATCCCAGTCCAGCATATAAATGGGAATACCAGTGGTACCCACTGGATGGAATCCACACCTGCCAAGGTGCAGGGCGGCCTCCCTGTCAATAGTGCCACTGTTTAGAGACCTGGACTACACCCCAGGGACCATGACAGCCAGCAGAAACCAAGAGCTTTGTAGAGGTGGCGGTGACACTGCAGCTGCGGGGTCCACAGAAAACTAGCAAGCACGGGGCCACACTCAGTGTCAAGAAACAGCAACGAGGTATTGAGTGACAGGGGTCTCCCCGACTGCCCGGCTCGCTCTGTGAGTCACCACGCCACTCACCAAGTCAGCACCGGCGCCCTGCAGAGGGCCAGCCTTCACATGGCAGGGCTCCCGCCCCCAGGGCGCTGCTTCAGGAGCTGAGACATCGGCGGCCCAGGTGTTTGTCCTTCTGCGAAGATGCTCCCTGGGTCACTGTGCTGTTCCCTCCCGGCCCTGGTCACCCTCTCGGTCTGGCCAGGATGGTGGTGGCGGAGGGAGGAGGGCAGACAAGCAGTTTCCCTCCCCTACAGACCTTCTACTCCATCCGACCTTCTGTAACCTTCCATCCTGGCCACCCCTTGTGACATCACTGGCTGCCCTCCCCTCCCCACCCCCGCCCTGCAGGGAGCTGCTTGGGAGCGGGGGACTGTGGCTGTGGCACTCTTGTCACTCGCATTCACTTATAGGGTCTGATGGAGGAGGCGGGAGGCCCGGACCTGCGGTGCCAACAGGCATACCTGTGACGGTGACATCCGTGCTGCTGAGAGGGCTCCACAGGGGACCTGACCTAGGTGCCATCAGGGGTCGGCACTCCATCCCACAGCTAAATGGCTCAGGACCCTGTCCCCACTGTCCCAAGCTTCTGACCCATGCTGTCACACACGCCATGACGTTCGCATCACATCGCACACAGCACACACGCAAGTGCACACAAGTGCGCGCACACGGTGCGTGTCACCCTGCAGCCACACACGCTGACACTCACACAACCCACTCGTGTACACTGCTGCACACTCACACAGTCACAGGCTCACAGTCAGTCCCACACCCACACGGACGCGCGCGACTCGTGCTCACACCCACACACGCTCACACTCACATCTGTCATTTGCTTCCAGTGATCCCAGGTGTGCAAGACACCACAGTGCATGTCACTAAGCCCGGCCACCTCCCCGTCTCACCTTCCACTGACTGGCTCAGGGCAAGGTGGCAACAGGGACGAACTGCCACAGCCCCTGTTCTGAGGTCTCTCTCTGAGTCTTGGCTCCCAGTCTTTGACCATGAAGCCCTGTGTTCTGTCCCCTCACCCCTGAGCTCTTCCTGCCTGGATCCCAGGCCAGGGCTCCTGGGCAGATGGTGACGTCCTCTCCAGGCAGAGCCCTGTGGTCTCTCGCCAGCCATTGGTATGTTTTCATTGAGAAAGGGCTGACCAAGGACCCAGCCACAGGAAGAGAAGCAACATCCATCTATGTCACCTTGGCAGACTGTCCCCAAAGCCAATACCAAAGGAGCAGAAGTCACCAGCAAGGCAATAAAAGACTCCAATCCAGGTGCAGAGGCCACGTCTGTGATCCCAGCACTCAGGAGATGGAGGCAGGAGGATCACACGTTCCAGGCCAGCCTGGGCTCCATAGCGAGACCCTGGCTCAAAGAAAACAGATCGAGTCCAGGTCACCTCCTGGTGGTGTGAGCTGTCTATATTCCTCCACCATCACCTCTCTGGGCATGGCAGGGGCAGGAAAGGAGTTGGACCTTGCTATGGTCCCCTCAAAGTTTATGCATTGGAACTTGAGTCCAAGGTCATGTTAATGAGATTTGGAGGAGGGGCCTTGGGGAGGCAATTAGGGTTAGATAGGGTGATGAGGGCAATTCCTGCTACTGAAACAAAATAACTGAGGCAAACAACTTACAAGACAAAAAAATTTATTTGTTCTGTTTGTTTGTTTTAGCAGTCCCAGGGATTGGACCCCAGGCCTCACGCTTAAACAAGTGCTCTACCATTTGAGCCACTCCCCAGCAAAATGTTTCGCTTTTACTTTGCTTTTCAGATGGGGTCTCTAACCTTGCCCAAGCTGGCCTCAGACTGAGAGCCTCCAAACGATACCTCTTTCCTATGTTGCTCAAGTGACAGGTATATACTGCCATGCCCAGCTTATTGATTGAGATGGGGTCTCAGTAACTATTGCCTAGGCTGACCTTGAACCTCAAATCCTCATGACTTCTGCCTCCCACATAGCTGAGATTACAAGCGTGAGCTACCAGTGCCTATTCTTTATAAATTACGTGGTCAGAGGTATTTTGTCATAGAAACCGGAAAAAGGGCTGAGACAGACCGGCCGGCTCCAGATCTGAGTACTCAGGTGGGTGGACCCATGGATGCACGGACCTGCGGATATGGAGGGACCAGCTTCACTTGACAGCTTTTGCTGTTGAAACTTTTTGCTTCTCTTCCTGCGTTTTTTTTTTTTTTTTTAAGAAAAACCCTTTCCTCCTCCTTCTGTCCTTCTCTCTCCCTTTCGCCTTCTTTTAATTGCAGTCAGCATAGATCCACTTATCCTTACTGTTCTCTGGTTGCCTAGAAGTGCTCAATAACACACTTGGCTGAAAAGACAAGTGTGCATTTTTTAAAAACATGCTTGATGTGTGACTCCTGCCCTCGCAAGGCTGCAGGGTCCCAGCTGTTTGCTATGGAAATGATTCCGTGTCTGGAGAAATGTGGGGATGGATGTAGAGAAAAGCAAGGCGAAAAATGAAACGATCTGTGTAGCACTCAGGTGTTTTCCCCATGAGGTCCGCTACTCAGGAGCCCTGCCATGGTGGCAATCATTCCTTTATTCCAGTCCTCAGACACAGGCCTGTGCCAAGTAAAATGGTCCCCAAACCACCCACCCAGTGCCTAGGCAGGTTCCAGCAGCCGTTAATTAACAGCCATTAGTGAAATAAAAACAGTAAATTAGGAAGAAGCTCCTCTGGAAGGAAAAAACCAAAAAAGGTCAACAACCCCTGAGGGTGAATCTTGGGGGTTCTGGAAAGTTCCCTGGGGTGCATACAAGTTTCTTCCCCTTTTTGTCCCTCCATCTCATTTTTGGTGGCTTTGTGGTTTCACTGGCTCTTTCCTTGTGAATGTGCAGTATTTTTTCATTTTAACAGAAAAGTGTCCTTTCATTTATCACAACTTTGGGTTTTTTTGGCAAAAAGACATTGATTGTGAAAGTCCTGTGTGCACTTGGTGAAGGCACAGGAAGACAGACAGACAGACACTCTCTGCACTGCCAAGGGATGGTCCATCTTCTCACTGCGATAGATACCTGTAGTTTATGTGTTTATTCTTCCAGAAGATTCTCTGCACACATGTTGAACAAGCACATGGAGACGTAGTGCACGTGGGTGTCAGAGCCACTCTGTCCGGATTCGGATCCCAGCTTTCAATTTATTAGCATGGAGGGTGAGTTACTACTTCCGGGTACCTTAGGTCTTAGGTGGAGGCTTTGGCTGGGTTTCAGAGTCAAATGAACACAAGGCGGATTAACAAGAGAAAATCAATGTGGGTGTAGTAGTGCCTGCCTGTAATCTCAACCGCTCAGGAGGCTGAGGCAGGAGGATTGTGACTTCAAAGCTAGCCTGGGCTACACAGCCAGACCCTGTCTTTAAAAAACAAGAGAAATGGCTGGGCATGGTTGCTCATCTCTGTAATCCCAGTTAAGCAGGAGGCATAAATAGGAAGATTGTGGTCTGAGGTCAGCCCCAGGCAAAAGCATAACGCTCTATATGAAAAATAAGTAAAGCAAAAACAAAGCTGGAGGAGTGGACAAGTGGTGGAGCGCCTGCCTAGTAAGTGTGAGGGCCTGAGTTCAAATCCCAGTACCGCCACCCCTCAAAAAAAAAATCTATGACAAAATGGTGGCACAAAATGATGCAACTAATAGGCTGTTGTTGGTAAACTCTAGAAGGTAGATGGGGAATGAAAGCCAGCAGAGGACAAGGGCTACCTTCATGAATTTATTCAGCCCTAACCCAATGCCAATTCCCTATCTCCAGTCCCTGAGGTCTGGTGTTTTGTTCTGAAGGGGGAAGTTAATCCTCCCCATATTCCTGGCCTCCCCCCATGTAGGGAAGGCAGGCTGGAGCCCTTTCTGCAACTTCGGGTCCTCCGTGGCAGTCAGCTCAAAATAGCTGGCACGCCATGTTGACAAACCAGGACTGTGCTTCCTTCGCTCTTCACTGAGCTCCACAGCGCAAGCCAGTGAACCAGGCTCTTCACTGACCCCCACTGCTGTCTTCAGACACGTCCCCTCTCCATGACTGAAGTCTCCTGCCAGTCACTCTGGAGGGACAGAGGTCTCCAACAGCCTCACGAGTGATGGAGACAGGGCTCGTCCACGGGGAGGTGCTGTTCACCAGGTGTGAAGTTCAAGTTGAACTCAAGGTGACAAGTGAGGTGGGGGGGTGGGGGGAGTGCTGTTGTGCCCATAGTGGCTGTAGGCACTGTGTCCCTCCCAGGCTCAACACACCCTGGCCACCATGGCGGAAAAGATTAAAAAAGAGTGTCTGTGTGAGCACATGCAGACTTTTCTTGTCATTAGTCCCTACAGGATACAGCGTGACAAGTGTGCACACAGCATTTACTTGGGAAAGGTGTTGTGAGTCACCTAGCGATGATGTAAGGTCTGTGGGAGGACACACAGGTCCTGTGCAATCACCGTGCCATGTCATAGAAGGGACCGAGCAGCTGTGGCTTTGGTCTCTGCAGGGGTTCCAGGACCCATGGCCCGAGGACACTGCACTTGCCTTTGAAATTGACTAGGAAGGTGCGTCTCCCGTTGAGTGTGCTTAGGACAGTTTAAAACAGAGGGGGAAGGAGAGAAGGGGGGGAAGGAGGGGAGGAGGGAGGGAAGGGACAGAAGGAGGAAGAAAATGAGGGAAGGATTTGTTTCCTGCCGTACCAGGGTTTGAACCCAGGGCCTCACGCTTGCCAGGCATCGCTCTACCGCTTGAGCCTCTCCGCAGCTGTTTGGCTTAGTAGTTTTCAGGGAGGGCCTCGTGTGCTTCGGGGCCAACCTCAGCCCGCAGCCTTCTGCTGCGGTGTCTCACGGTGAATTGGGGCTGCTTTACCCTGGTGGCCGGTGATTTTGAGCATCTGTTCAGGTGCTTATTGCCTATTTGTACCTCTTCTTTGAAGACATAACTATTCGAATATTGCCTTTTTTTTTTTTTTCGATGGGACTGGGGTTTGAACTCAGGCTTTCCACTTGCAAAGCAGGTGTTCTACCTCGTGAGCCACACCTCCAGTCCATTTTGCTCTGGTTATTTTGGAGATGGGGTCTCAAGAATTCCCAGGCTGGCCTTGAACCCCAATCATCCTAATCTCAGAATCCCAAATAGCTAGGATTACGGGCATGAGCCACTACACCCAACCAAATATTGCCCATTTGTGATTTGGTTATTTGTATTTGTATTTTTGAGTTGTAAGAGTCCTTTATGTATTGTTGAGTGTAGATACAAGATCCTCAGGAGACAGATGATCTTCAAAATTCCTTCTCGTTTTTTGTGTTGTCTTTTCCTCCCTTCCTCCCTGCCTCCCTTCCTCCCTTCCTTCCTTCTTTCCTTCTTTCCTCCCTTCTAGATGGGGTCTCATTATATTGTCCAAGCTGGTCTTAAACCCCGGGGCTCAAGTGAGCCTTCTGCCTCGGTCACAGGAGTAGCTGGGACTACAGAGGTGAAACACTGGACTCAGCCTCTTCTCACGTTCTTAAACTCGTCCTTTAAAGGACAAGGATTTTTAGGGTTTTTTATTTTAT